TTGTGTCATAGATCATGAACCCTAGAGATTAACCCTAATGCCCAGCACGTTTTTCATCCTTGTTTTGATCTATTTTTATTTCCTGTTTAGCTTAGTAGAAATCGTACACCAAAACTCCACAAAAAACCCCATTGGTCTTTGAGTTTGATTACTAATCCAGTTTGAAGTTTCTGCAGAAAAAACAACTCTCCTTGTGGATCGACACCCTAAGTAGTACAATGCACGGCTGTGCACTTGCAGACACTAGGGTTTATAAATTTAAAACTATTTTGCGACAGCAACCCTAGCTTGCATCATTAATTCGATTAAAACAAGATTTATTTAGTTTTAACTGAATTATATTCAATTAAATTTCTAAATTCGGATTGGTTTCATTTAATCATGATTTAATTTTGATTAAAGGAAGCATTTAATTCGGTTTAAACTGGTTTAAGTATTTTTTTAGTTAAACTGTTTTCAAACTAAAAAAAGTACATAAACCTTTTTATCGAACCGTACCAGAAATTCGAAGATAGTTTACAATTGAACCGAATAAAACCAGTCAAATCGGATAAAAGTACATGAGCCAAGCACGATTGCTGACTGTATACTATCCTCAACATCCACTGAATCACCAATATCAACACACCGGTAAATCATCGAATCACCACTAGCTCAACCAAAATTTTTGATCTGGTCAAGACAGCAATACAGACTGTCAAGCAAAGGGTGGGAAAGGCAAACTCAACCACTCCACCACTACTAGATCAGCTTTGAGCACTACAATCGCACCAATGACCGCCAGTATCCCCCTTTGACTCGTTGCTGAATGATTTCCGCCACAAATCAGGTTATAGAACCCCATAGCACCAAAGTCTGTTGATTGCTCTATGAAAAATCTTATAGAATATAATATATTATTGAGTTGTTTTGATATGAAAGAATATATATATATATATATAGTGGTAACATTAACATAATGCTAATACCCACATAATGTAAACTTTCCTAAATACATAAGGAAATATGCTAAGAATATATCGAGATCTAGAGAATTTTTCTTTCGAGTTTTACAGGTTCATGTCATAGTCGGGCTTTGATGGCCTACAATACTTAGTTTGCAAGATACACATCGTGCTCTCCAAACTATCTCTAATACTCTCCCTCCACGATTTCTCCTCCGTCTTTGGATGAAAGATCCGGTTTCATAATATTAATTTGATCTAAAGTTTTCGAATTATGAAGATTTCTCAAAGGAAATACGTAATGAAAATATAAAATCAGATGGAAAAAATCGAAATTTTATTGATGAGAGTACAAGAGATTTTGTTATATTACTCAAATGAGTACAACGTCTTTTTGTACAACGTTTTTTTGTGGTCAAGTGTTGCATTAACTCGGACATAATTAATGAGTTTGACCATTCCGTTTAATGACTTATTAAGCTCATAAGGACGGGGCTCTAGGTGCGCTTGAGTATTAGCCTGATGTGTCTACACGATCGGTCAAAAGCTAAACCGATACAAACCAAACTCTTAAGTGCTTCTCTATTTCATTTTTAAATTGTTTAATAATAGAAATGTTACCACGTTTCGAGAAAATTGAGACGCGCCCTTAGTTGCTTTTCCCATTTTTTGTACTTCCAATTATGTAATAAAAGGAAGACTAAGTTTTCTTCAGAAAAATGTGTTGTTTTGTTTTTATTGTGTGTGTGAACCCCCCGACCCCTGAACCGCAATATTGACTTTTGATTTTAAATCGGTTTACTGTCTTTATTAATTAAATAACCACACTTTTAAATAATACTCCTATTCATTTAATAAAACTAAAGTCTTGCAATTAAAAATTCATAACTCAAACTTAAAAGTAAAACTGAATAATATTATGAAGAAGAATTTAAAAGAAATACTGAAATTAAAATGAAGATTAAGAAAAACTCATCCCAAAAGCACACAACTTCGGACTACTCCTCGTAGCCATCAAGATCATAATCTTCATACAAAGACATTTCATGTAGTTCGCCTCTACCACCAAGAGATGTGGATGATCTTTTCTTTTAGGATAGAACCCCAGCAAACAATAATCGAACCATTGTGCCATTTCTTAGGTCGATCACCTCATTCTATCTCTTACCCATCTAATTGTTACTATCTTGGTCTTCTTACCATCAACCTAATTCCCTTTTAAGTCGATTGGCAGATTAGGCAAAATGAACTCTGGTTCTCTTACTACCTTCCTAAGTAGCGAATTGTGCAAAACATCATGAAGTTCATACAACTCCTGAGGCATTTGTAGTGAATATGCTACTTCTCCAATTCTTTCGACTATAGGATATGGTCCCATATACCTTGGCTTAAGCTATTTCAGCTTCTGGTGCCTCTCATTTCCTCTGAAGACTCTCAGCTTCAGGTACACTTCATCTCCTACTTCAAATGACAATTCAATCTGGCGCATATCTGCATAACTCTTCTGGCGATCATGAGCCTCTTTTATCCTTGACTTAAGCAACTCCACCTGCTCGGCGGCATCGTTGCCAATTCAGGATTCATTTCCCCTATTTCTCCCACACTGGTCCAGCAGTGGGTTGTACGGCATGGTCTTCCATACAGTCATTCGTACGGAGCCATTTTGATGCTAGCATGATAACTGTTATTGTAAAAAATGTCGCTAACGGAAGATACTTTCCCCAATTTCCTTCCCAGTCAAGAACACAAGATCTTAGTAAGTCTTCCAAGGTCTGAATCATCCTTTCCAATTGACCATCAGTTTGGGGGTTATAAGCCGTACTCAAATGCACTTTTGTCCCTAGCGCTTTCTGAAATAATTTCCATAACACAGCCTTGAATTTTGCATCTCTATCCGAGACAATACTGACCGGAACTCCATGTAGCCTCACAATCCCATCTAAATATTTTTGCGCCAAAATTTTTGCTCCATCAGTTTTTTGTATTGGCACAAAATGAGAAGATTTAGTCAGACGATCCACAATTACCCAAATTTGCATTCTGGTAATGGTAAGCTCTTAAGTAGTCCACTAGGGACCATGCATTCTGCATTTACCTCCTTGCATGTTGCGCACTAAGAGATCCAATTCTATATGTCATTCTTCATTCCTCCCCAATGATAGTATCTTTTCAGATCTTGATACATCTTGGTACCATCGGGATGAATAGATAATTTCAAGTTATGAGCCTAGCTCAACATTTTTTCCTCAACTCCTCATCGTTCGGACACAAACTCGATTCTTGTACATATAGGATCCATTTTCTGCGGTGTGGTACCTAACCACTTGCTTCTCGACCATTTCCTTTAAAGCATTATCATTTATCTGCTTCTGGCTAATTTTCTACAGTAGATCCGCATTTTCCAATGCCTCTAGCCCCGTAAAATTTTCTTCCACTTCTGTCTTGCTAAGGTTACGGTTAAATTCTCCATTTTCGTTTCCTTAACAACATCTCCTCTGCGACGGAGCGTATGCCACTTGATTGATCTTTTCCGGGCGATAGGCAATATCCAAATCATAATCTGCTAACAACTCAATTCATCTTCGCTGCCTCAAATTCAAATCACTCTGGGTGAAAACATGTTTTAATCTCTGGTTATCTGTGTATATTTGAACCTTCTTTCCGTACAAATAAGCACGCCAGATTTTGAAAGCAAACAAAATTGCTGATAACTCCAAATCATGAGTGGGATAATTCAATTCGGGCTTTTGCAACTGTCTCGAGGCATATGCTTTGACTTTCCCCTCTTGCATAAGCACACTACCTATCCCGTTTCGCAGGCATCAGTGTAGAATTCATATGGTATTCCTGTCCTTGGAAGTACCAGTATTGAAGTTTCAATCAGACGCTTCTTCAACTCCTCACAAATTTTATTCTGAGCCTCTGTCTATTCAAAATTGACAATGGCTTTGTCAACCTCACAAATTCCAGCACAAATCTGCGGTAATATCCAGCTAGTCCCTAAAAGCTACAGACCTCTATAACATTTTTAGGAACAGGCCATTCCATCACATACAGCAATCTTTTCTGGATTTACTGCTACCCCTTCTTCTGATATAACATAATCGAGAAATCCTATCTTTCTCTGCCAAAATCTGCACTTGCTCAGCTTAGTGAAAAGTTGATGCTTCCTTAGCTCCTGAAGCACTAATTGCAGATGCCAAGCATGCTCTCCTCTGTTCTTAAGTAGACCAAAATATCATCGATGAAAACAATCACACACTTGTCCAAGTACGCTCGAAAGAGCTTGTTCTTCAATTTTTTAAATGCAGCTAGCGCATCTGTCAATCCAAATGGCATAATACGAGGTTCATAATGCCATTTTCTTAATATCCTCTTCAGCCATTTGAATCTGATGGTAGCCTGATGCTAAATCAAGTTTCAAAAACCACAAAGCTCCTTGCATTTGGTCCAACAACTCATTTATTTATGGTAAAAGGTACTTGTTCTTAAATGTCACCTTATTCAGCCCTCGGTAATCTATGCAAATACGAAAACTCTCGTCCTTCTTCTTCATGAACAATACTTGTGCTCCCCATGGTGAACTGCTTGGTTGGATAAAACCTTTGTCTGTAAGGTCCTCCAACTTCTTCTTTAATTCTGCCATTTCAGCTGGTGCTAGCTGATACGCAGACTTCGAAACAGGGGCCATCCCTGGTTTTATCTTGATAGTGAAATCATCTCCTCGTGATGGTGGCGGTCCAGTTAATGGTTCGAACATGTCCACATACTCGTTGGCCACCACTATATCTTCCAATCTCTCCGTAATGTCTGCGTCTCTGGTCATGGAAATCATCTCCAGATACGCCTCACATCCTTTCTCCATTAAGTTTTTGGCGTGAATCATCGAGATTATCAGTACACCATTATCCGTCATGGTTCCTTGAAATGTTAACCTTCCTTCTGGTCGTGGTATATAGGCTTGCGTCTTTTACAGTCTATAATGACTTGGTAGTGCGTCAACCAGTCCATTCCAAGTATCATGTCATATTGGCCCAACTTCATCTCCACCAAATTCTATGGAAGCTCCGCTCCTTCCTGCAGGACTGGCACATCCTCGAACACACCAATAGACTTTACCTGTTCAGTCCCGGCAGTCTCATTTGCTTTTAACTTTGGTTTGAACTTTCTAGGAAAAGTCCAACACTTATTCAACTTCGGGCTCACGAAACTATGCGTAGCACCGGTGTCAAACATAGTGTAAGCTATCGCTTCCCCTACGGAGATCGATCCTACATAATTTTATAGTTATGTCTAAGCACGCAACTTCCATTTCACTCAATTTCATAAGCTTCACGACCAGCTTTAACAAAAAGAAAACAATTCATTAACGTACCAGCGATAGGTTCTGTTCTTTCATTCTCTGTAAGTGCATACATTAACGGTCCCACAGCTTGCCTCTTAGCTGGTGGTTCTGGTAACGGTCCATATTGAACTGCGGGAGCTTGCTGATTGGGAAAACCTATCTTGCAATCCTTGGCAAAGTGCCCACACTTCCCACCTTTAAAGAACCAAAATCCCTTGAGCCTGAATACTGTCTGTCTTTGCCTTGAGCACCAAAATCCTTAGTGAGATGTCCATGCCTTCCACATCTGAAACACCTGATTATTCCACAGCATCCAAAGTGTCTCTTCTCACAGCGTTTACACATCGGGGCATTCTCAGAAGGAATGCTTCAGACATGTCTATCCAAGTCCTCTTTTGTGTCTTCTGAATATGCAGAGCACTACTACGAGCCTGAATACTCTTGGTTTTCTTCAGCTCTTCCTCAAGACCAACTTCCTGAATAGCAGCTGTTTCCACTAGCTCAACCATGCTCAGGTACCTCCTTATCGAACAACAATTCTTCAGTTCCAACCTCAAACATTTCATAAATAGACGAATCAGATCAGCCTGAGTGAAAATCTTTATGGAGAATCTTCTCAACCTGTTTAATTCCTCCTTGTACTCTCTCACACTGAGATTTCCTTGGCGCAAATCCTCAAAAGCACTTTTCATCAGGTCCATGGCCTCTGGTGGAAAATACTCACGAGATAACTCATCTTTGAAGTCATCCCATGTCAGCTCATAGCATCCACGAAATCCTTCGACCAAACCTTCCCACCAAATCAGCGTATTATCTTGTACGTACTGAACTGCTAACTCCCTTCGGTAACCTTCCGGGTATCTCATGGTCTCAAAATTCTTCTCCAGTTTCTTCCTCCAATTGTCAGCAGTGACAAGATCAGACCTTCCTCCAAACAATTCCATGTTCATGTCCTTCAAGTGCCTCATTGCCTCGTAATACGTTAATGCAATAACATTAGACTGCACCGGAGGTTGTGGTGGCACAAACTGTTGATGATACGGCGGAGGTGGATATGGCTGCTGCACATTCATTGGCAGCACAAACTGCTGCTAAGCATTCACTGGAGGCCGCAAAAACTGCTGGTGCACAAGCGTAGGAGGTGGCACATTGTGCTGCTGAACATTCACTGGCGGGTTAAGCTCATCCTGCAGTTTACTGATGGGCTTGCAGGCCTAAGGTTGTTTTTTACAAGCCTATTGGTCCTCCAAAAGTTTTAAGTTTATAAAACCCCAGTGTCTGCAAGTGCACAGATGTACGTTGTAGGACTTAGGGTGTCGATCCACAGGGAGGATATCTAATCTGCAAGAAACAACAAACTGGGAAGTAAGCAAACTCATAAACCAACAAAAGATTTAGGGTTTTTTTGTTAAGATCCTAAACTAAACATAATCTAATATTCACAAGAAATGCAATGCAGGATGAATTGTTAAAAGAACATCTAAAACATATCGACTCAAACTAAAGACTCTTAACCTCATAGGTGGCGATTTAGACTTCTCTGGTTTACTCTAATCGATGTATGGTGGCATTTGCAATTAGCTTCCGAGCAATTTATCTTCATCTGTTTCTGGGAATCTGCATTGAACTAGAATAGACACATGTATGATTAACCAACTGTCGTCACCTTAATCAATTAATCTCTTAGATCTAGCAATAAACTCTCGCTCTCATGCTAAACTTAAGATCATGCATTGAACATTGAATTCGTCTGCTCACATCTTCTCTATAGGTAGCTTTCGACTCCTATAGCGACTATGTTCTTCTGAAGCTAGGTATGGATGATCTGATACAATACTCTTGTGGCTCTGATCAATCCTAGGTTCAGAGAATAGGTCATGAATCTACTCTCATGCTTTACGAATAACTTAGAAGAGATAAGATCCATAATATGGCTAAGAACAATATAAATCCTAATCGATATATATGCTTGTCGATATCTTCAAACAACTTGACTCTCTGGGACAAATCTACATGATGCAATGAATGATAAAAGACATAGAAGAATGCAAAAGAATGAAACAGAAAAATTAATAAGATAAAAAAGGAGGAAGAACAATGGATCAGGGGAATAATCCCCATCTCCATCGCCTAACCCTAGAAAAACAAAGTTTGGTGGCTCAAAATCTCATTACAGGAGCACACACCCATTTAGGGCTGCTAAACAATGTATTTATAGGTCCTAAGGTCTTCCAGGTCTCATTTAGGGATTCTCTGAAGAGAAATGGTGAAGTGGGCTTTGATGTTGGGCCTTGTGGCTCGTCTTAAGGTCCACCGGGGGTGAGTCTTCCAGGGCAGGTAAAACATGCTTTTGCCGCGGGTGAAAGTCTTCTGGGACTGGTGAACTGGGTCAACTTGTTCTCCATGTATCTTTTGATTGTACCGTTGGATCTTTGTGATGTAAAGTGCTATGGAAAGCTGGTTGTCTCCTCTTGATTGTCTCTAAATTTGAGCTGGATCGGACGGTGAGAAAGTTTTCATTTGAGGCTGAAGTTCTGACGGTCTAACTTTGAGCTAAAAATGTGGATTTTTTCTATTTTGCCATCATATTCCCTAAGTTTCCTGAAAAAAACCTTGAAACTACAAATACATGGAAATCATAATAAAAGTTCCTAAAACAAAGTAAAATCTTTGAAAAAGCATTTGAAATCAATGGTGAAAAGTGGTCAAAATCAGGTGTTATCAGTTACCAAACCTTACCAACAATGCAGCATGAGCTTCAGCTGTCACCTGAGCAGGGTTAGCTCCAATGTGGTTTCCATCCACTGGAACTTGCACATTGTTCCTGCTCTCATTAACACTTCTCTCAGGGGATATGACTTGATCTAGATTCACTGGCGGGTTGACAGCAGGGGCTGGAGCATTTCTGGCTTTTGGAGGCAACTGAAAAGAATAACAAGAAAATTTAGCAAGCAAGCCAGTCCGGACCCATAAAGACTGATCTTCATGCAAATAGAACTCAACACATAACGAGAAAACCGATCTAGGTGGTGGTTTTATAAACTTTTACGAAAACTTTTCCCCCAAAAGTTTTGCCTGATTTAACTCGATTAAACCCAAATTTCTTTAGTTTTAACTGAATTATATTCAATCAAATTTCTAAAACCGGATCGTTTTGATTTAATCATGATTTATTTTTAATTAAAGGTTGCACTACAAGAAAAACACCTTTTCCAACGGTCAAAACCGTTTAAAATTAATATAAAAAAGCTATCATGAAAGTTTCAAAAACATCGTAAAAGCATCGTCGTATATAACAAATCGTCGTAAAAATGTCATATTGTTTGGGATGCTTTAAAATTATCGTAAAATAATATTCGTATAGTCGACTGAATATTCACAACGAAATTACTACGAGTTTAATGGTCGTCCGATTACGTTGAAGTTTCATCGGTTTTTACATCAATACTAGGTATCTGTCCGCGGCGCGCGGACACAATTAGCATACAAATTTCATTATAATTTGATTTTAAAATTTTTTGTAATATAATCATTATATTTTTATATTTTCAATAATTGAGACTAAAATATTGTATAAACATAAATCATAAAAATACTAAATATTTCTTATTATTATTTTAAATCGATTAATATCAATTGTATATTAGATTATTTAAAATTGTATGTACCTATTAAGTAATATTATAATAAACAACTATTAAATATAATTAGTAATAATAATAAAGAATAATTAAATTGTAGATGAAAATATAATAAAAAGAAATATCAAAACAAATAATAAGATCTAACACGCAAGTTTTAAGTTATATAAATACTTATACAAAGAAATTAAGAGAACACTTCTCCATTAAGTATTGTTATATATATCTGGTTTAGAAGTGCATTTTTATCCTTGTTCCAACTTGTGTCTAAAATGTGCTCCACCTCTCTCGAATCCTGGAAGTGTAAGAGACATATACATATTGTAAGACTGTTGTATATACAATTCTCCAATTATTATTTTCAGATTACTTACTTTCTCTTAAAAATCAGGGCATCATCAGTGTTAGGATCAAGGAAAAGACAGGAAAAACCAATTGCTTCATGTGAATGGATAGTTATTTCATCTACATGTATAAAATAATTGATAGGAAATATACATGCAATATAAAACATATATTGGACAAAATAAAAATAATAATGACAAATGCTTGATTGTCCATATCTTCTTTTTTATTTACACTCCAATCGGTTAAAACAGAAACCGCAAAAGGACCAGTGAATCATTTGGTTCTTTCTTTGATATCAGCGGCAAATTCTCCGTATGCGATACATTTCAACTTCACATCCCTTTGATTTAAACAATTTAAGTTACAAACTTTGTTACCAAGACATAGTGATCGTGAGAGAAAATATAACTTACTCGAGATCTGTGATGGTGAAAGTTATTTTCTAAACAATCTCTCCATCAGGGTTATTTTCTGTTTCAATGTTGCTAACATTTTCCATCACACCAATGAGATCTACAAATCAATTATGAGAGAAAATTTTATCATAAATGAACTTCATATATATATTTTTTTTTATATATGTACAAATTTATAGATGAAAACACTAAAACGAATATTATAATTTAATCTTACCAACAGGATACAACTGAGCGTAAGGAACTCTGTATATCTCACTAAAAGGGACAAATTTCATAAAAGGATTCATTGTCAATGGTCGTAAGCTTGAGACTTCTGTCTCAGTAGTGAGAACGATCTGATAATTGTGTCTCGTTGTCCTTCCCTCATTCTTCCATTCAAATGATATCAAGCCAAATTTATACAATTCAAACCACATTCCTTCAGTCCCAACACGGTAAAAATATGGAAAGGCAAGGTTACCACATGAAGCATTAATTCTGCAACCCTATATACAATGAATTTTGAAAAGAGATCAAACAAACAATAAATATAGACAAAACAGTTATATATTCATATAGATAATACTTACATTTTCGTCGAGTTCCCAAAAGCTCAACGTTTTTAGCCATAGTTTACTGATAGACAAGACTTTTTAGGGTCTCAGGGCTATCAATCCCCTTGTCAATGTAGCACAAAGAGGTTTATCAATCCAGATGTGGTGTTAGACACTAAGCTATATGATCAAGTTCTTAATTCAAGCAAACAAGAGTGGGTCTTGATTAATCTAGAGACAACTATAAACATAAACAGGATTAAAGACTAATGACAATGACAAATGGTGTGAATAAGATATGATGGAGGTATGAGATTCTAGACATGATAGATGGTTAGGGTGCTTTGGTGTTAAACTAGGAATGCTAATGACAATGATGAGACATGATTCAAGTGATTAAGAACTCTAATCTATGTTAATCCTCTCATGAAGGTATTAACCCCTATACTAATCCATTTTCAAACCAAATTCCCATTTGTGAAATATGAATCAATATGCATTAATAAACAGTTCTCAATGATCATTCAAGCATTTAACAAATCATTCCCATGATGAAAAATTACTTAAACCTCTAACACAACTCTTTCAGGAATTTCATCAAACACTTTTGGTGCATGAAATTCCCAGAATCTAGATCTCAAGTGATTATCAAGGATCTAGCATAGAGAATAGTTGTTTAGAGAAATGAACTAATGAATCTGGCCCTAAACACTCCTAATCTAACACTTTAGCACCCTAACCTACACATCTAGAACCTCATTAAGGTAACTACTCACTAATCATGATCAACACACTAGATCCTTTGCAAGATGTGGTGTTAATCATGATTAGAAGTTGATTTTGATGAATAGAAATGATGAACAAGATGGAAAGAAACTGCAAATCGATTTAAACTCTCTAAAACAAAGTGTATTAAGTCGTTTTTTCACAAAAGGGGGAAAAAAGACTAAAAGTAGATTAAGTGTTTTCTACAAATTAGGTCTAAAAACCTTATAAAGGAGACTTGGGCGAACCGGGTCAACCCGGAACAAACCGGGTACTGACCCGGCCTTGATGGGCAAAGAAGGGTTTGCCACGGTCTGGTGCATCCTTGGTGTGACCGTGGCATTCCTGACCGTGTCAAAGTCTTTAC